AAGTAATGTTGCCCAATATCATTCTCCCTTCAAAGTCACCCCCAATGACTTAGCTTTCTTAGCTTTTTCATGCTTGGCCCAACCTCCTAACAGTTCCACCATCTCCAGATAAAACCACAGGCTGGCAACCCAGTCATTTGTGTCTTAGGGGGTATTTACAATTCAAACCCTAGTAAGCTCCTAGGATAACCACTACATTTCCTAGATTTCTTTTAATCTCTCCCTGGTACTGGGCTAAAATATGAGTCTTGTGATAGAACAGATTGCAGTATTCTCATAAATATACATCTCTACAAAAAACACACATGAAAAAGAATAATGTAGTGTAGCAAATGCTTTAAAACTATCCAGCTAGAAAAATACTGGGCTCATTAAATCTGCAACAATTCTCACTATGTTGCCATGGTACTTACTTCCTGCCATTCCCCAGACACTTGTACTATTCACGTATCACTACATTGAGTTCTGAGAACGCTGACATTCACTTTCTGATTCCGACAATAGCTAAATTAAGAATGTGTCTTTTAAGCTTTTGTCTTGAGCTTACTTTCCTTGGAGTGTTTCCTATTTCTGCAAAGGGCATGCATAACCAAATCTTACCACCTCAGTCAGGGGTCTAATGACTATTGTCCATCCAGAGGACATAAGAAAATTTTCACTCAGTCTTCCTCTTCCCCAGCTATTTCTACATCCATGATAAGCACTGCTGTTAGATAAGCCTTCTGAAGCAGAATAGTTACTACGTCTTGTCTTGCTGTTACTTGGGCTCTTCGATAAACTTCGGTGGAAGTCAGAACTCCTTCCTCTCATACTCTGCATTGGTGTAGCCACTCCAGTCCAAAGTAGCTCATTCTTCCTCTTGGCTCTGTGCTTAATAAGACCAGCATCTTTGCTGTCAATCCTCCATTTGCCAACTTAAAAAACCCTTGCCACTTTAACGTTCTGCAAAGATGTACTTTTTCATCTATGAAACCTCTGGTCTTAAAATAGATAAATACTCCTTTTTGGAAGGTCCACAATACTTTTTCTGTCCCTCTCTTATACCATTTGCCATTCCTTATCTACATTAAAGCTTGTACATTTCCTTAGACACACACTCCAATTTTTCTGTGTTGAGGGAGGAGGTAGTTCTGCATCAAATGCATGTAACAAGTGAAATAGAACCTAACTTGAAGAATCAAAATGTACTTTCGTAAGTATTTATAATTTAAGAAAGATATAAAGTTTAATTCTTAGCTATCCCATAAGACTTTATGTAATTTGATATTGCTCACTTTCATGTGCCCCTCAAAATAGTATATTTGGAGTATTCACTGAAAGCTTGAAGTAGACCAAGAGACTTTTATAAATTTAAGGAGTCCTATTCTGGGCCCATTGGCTGGCTTGTTCTTCTTCAAGTCCTGAGTTATTGGCTATTTCAGGTTGAGCTCTTGTGTCATGTAGTGACTTGCTGAGCAGACCAGCATAATAGTAGAGTGGCAATAACAATTGTTCATTGTTGTCATACAAGTCATCATACAAGTCAATGCAATGAAGTCACCAAGAAGAGAATATATTCTTTAGGTTGTTTTCCTATAAACTATGTGGGTGATTTATATAAACATTTATATTGAAATGGATCTCATTTTATCTGTATATATATATATATATATACACACACAAATATATTTACATATATTTATGTTTAATGTATATATTTAACAAAATTTTACATCAAATCGAAAGCCTATGAGATATATAAAAACACATCTGTAGCCAGACCACACTTGCAATACTAGCTATTTAGAAGAATCAAAGTTCAAAGGTAGAGTAGAAAAACTGATTGAGACTTCATCTCTAAAGTAACCAGTAAAAAGCAGTATATATATATGTATATACAGATATACATACATATATGCATGTATGTATGTATGTACATACACACACTCTTGTACTAAGAATTCACATTCCTGTGAATAGCAGATAAACTTGGTAGTTCTTGGAATTTAGGGTTCACATGTGATAAAAGCTTGTCTCTGTCTTGAAATGTTGGGCTTCTTACTTTAAGCTAAGGTTGCATAAACACCTAAAACACATAAATTGCTGAGCCCCACCTTGACCTCTCTGTGCAAGACTTCAATGAAGTCTACCCTATTTCAATTCTTTTCTCTCTTTTCTGGCTGCTTATTTTAAATCACATAAAAATATGTGTAACATTTCCAGTGTGTCTGGAAATGCAACAGCAGTTACTTTTCTCTCTTCTGACAACATTGTTGGACAGAGACACAGGCTAGGTCACAAAATGCTTCTTAATATACCTGCTCACATTAATCACTAATAAGGAGGTAAATGGGAGTATGGGAATATGGGAGCATATGTGTATGTTGTTTTGCTTTTAATAATAGCCAATGCAATACATATGTAGGATGATCTAAGGAAATATAAGTCTGTGGCCAAGAAAAGAATCTAAGTAGTTGAGTAAGATGTGGAGGGAAATCCACTTCAAAATCTTAGTTCAGTATCTAAACCCCTTGGTAAGACAAAGTAACTTGCCATTTTCAAAGAGTGCTAAAGC